GGAGCTAGGGGCAGCCTGAGCACTAACAGGCAAGTTGCAGAACAGTTAAGGGCTGAGAGCAGATGACAGGGTCCCTGCTGAGAAGACTGGGAGCCGGGACCTGCAGCCCATGTGGGCTCCTGGGAAGCCCCCTCTTCAAAGCGCAGGCTTCCTGGGGGAAGAAGGGGGGTGTGATGAGTTCCCCACTACTCCTCTAGAAACTGTACGATCTCAGTCCAAAGCACCCCACAACCACATGCCGTGTGCAGCACAACAAGCCCAATCCCCAAATGCCCCCAAATACCTGTTCCCTGCCACCCCAGCTCCAACCGCTGCCTCTCCTTCCCCCACCTTGTGCCAACGCACATGTGAAGCCACTGAGCTCCCTGCGGCAGCCCGGTGCCCCCATCAGGCTCTCCGTCCCCAGGCACCCCTGATTCCCTTCCCCAGGGGCCGCTCCTGCCTGGCCCCATCTCCACTTGGCTAATTCCCCTTGTGGCCCTTCTATTGAACTGTTGTGTTGTCCATTTCCCTGTGACAAGGGCTCTGGTTACAGAGTTATTGATTGGTTTTCATGCAGACAGATGGGCCCTTCCCGGGCGCCCACCGGAACCCCTGGCTGTATGGGCTGATTGTTGCCTCTCGGGGTGTAGGATTGCAGTGGAGACCACCCTCCACGTGCCTCCTTGGCCCCGGCCGTGGACGGTAATAAATGGAGGTAGCCTGAGCGATAATAAAAGCAATTGAGTAGGTTACCTGCACAGACACAAGATTTATGCCTCTTCATATTTGATGTGATTGTTTTATTGAGTTCTCAGAACAGTTGGGACACAATTTATTTATTTATTTATTTGAGGTTTCCCCTTCTCTTTTCTTCTTTGCATCACCCTCCAACACCCATCTTCCAAAACCCGCTTTGCTAGGAACGAGCCCTCGGGTCTGCCGCTCCTCCGGGCTGCCAGCTGAGATAAGAGCTCAGGGCAACCAGCCATCGCCCTCACCTGAGAGCTGTTTTGCGGCCTGAACACCCACGGAGCCAGCCAACAGAGAGGCAGTCAGACAGATACGACTGCTGGCCAAGAAGTCCGGGCTAAAACAAGTAAGGAGACACATACAGGCTGCTCCGGAGGACAGCTCCAGCTCCTTTTGAAGAGTCAGATGGGTGGCCATGTCTGTTTCGCCTGTTCCTCTAACGACGGGTGACCTTAACAACTAGGTGAGCAGGACTTCACAGACAGAAACTGGCATGAGTGCCTGCCATCCACGCCCCTGCATGCTAGGCTCAGGACAGCCATGGAAGGCAAGTCCTCTGTCCTTGTTTTCCCATTCCTCTGTGGGTAGGAGTGTTTTTCATTAACTTATCAACTTGCCCTGGCTCTTTGCCATGAGACCAGTAGCCTTGACCACCAAACAGCTGTAAGGGTATGGAGATGTGGCGAGCAACGCCATCCCTCTGGCCCAGCTTCATGATCCAAGGGCCAAACGTACAACATTCTGGAACCTGAGTTCCAGAGATGGAGGATCAGACCCTGGCCCGGACTATGTCTTCAACATTCTCTTGGCTAGGATGAGTGGCTTCCAGCTCATCTGCAGAGGCCCTTGAGCAAAACCCACTCTACTGCCAAACGTCTGTGAAGATCGGAGACTGACAAGCGTGGGGTGTGGCAGGGGGAACCGAATGGCAGCTGGACAGCGCTGGGGCTGAAGCCTGCTTGCAGCCAGTGTTGCCATTGCTGGGAGAACCACTGTGCTCTCCTGGCGCCCAACAGGCAAGGGAAAGGATGCACCAGCAAGGCAGACTGTGGACGGGTCTACTCCAAGCTCTAGGGACAGAGCACCCAGAGCCCAAGGGATGAGGAGTGGACTACGGAGGCGAGAAAGCGATGATGCCCTTACTGGCAGCTCATCCCATGAGGACGCACTTGGGGCTCGTAGGGAGTCCCACACGTCCAGAGTTTGCGCCGTCTTTCACAGGCACTACATCCACACCCAGAGCACAGGCAGTGCGGAAGACTGGCATGTGATCAGGAAAATCCTCCCTGCCTAGTAACCAGGCGACTTTCCTCCCTTGCAGCAGCGTGGATCTCCCTCCATCCCGTCCCCTCCGGGCCATTTCCCACACCAGGTTCCGCTGGAAAGTCACCTGTTCATAAACACCCACCCTCCACAGCAGCCACGCGAGCTGAGAAGTCCACGCTCAGCGATCAGTGACCCAGTATTTAGGCCTCCCTGATGGGCTCTGTTGGCTCCAAGGGGCATTTCTGTGTGGGTTTGCTGAAGGAGAACGTGGGTTGGGCAGCAAGTCTGTATCGCGACAGGATCAGAGAATGCCAAAACCATTTTTAAAGCAGGAGAAGAAATTTAGTTTATAACCATAACAGCATATTTCAAGTGCGGCGACAGCCTCTGTTTTGGGGAGGAGGAGATGAGAAGCGGTTGCTCAGGGGGGTGAGCATGGGTGGACACCCGTTCTTGCCACCGCCGGCCCCCGCACACCCTCTCTCCTAACTGTCACGAAGGACCCAACACAGGGGCACCTCCACAACAACGCTCTAAGCCAGGAAGCCCCGTTCCCCAGGGCACCACATTTAACAATGCCCACAGAAACATCCTGGGTTGATCAGGCTGCAAGGTTCAACTCCACGGCTGAGACCAAACCCTCCCCCTTTAGAGCACAGCACCTAAGGGACGAGGCTGAGGGTGCAGGGCCCGGATGCCTCCACCCATCCTCGACGAGGCAGCACACTGGGAAGAACAAGAGTTTTTTCCAGACTTGAACGATGCGAGGATTCTGGCCCAAATCAAAACAGAACCGCCTGAGTGCCCCTGGCTCACAAAGCCAGCCACGAAGCCTAACTCTGGACCCAGGGCCGGCTGCTCATGCTGCCAGTGGCTTCTCTGTTGCTCTCCCCCCACTACCTCTTCATCTCCACAACACCTGCCCACAGGTGGCTGTTTCTCCACACCCAAAGGAAGCGTGCGTGCGACAGGGCCCTGTGCAAGTCTGCAGCTGCCAGAGCTGTCAAGCCAAGGCCATTCCCTTCCCCGCTCTCATCTCTCAGGCTGCTCACCCATCTCCTTTCTCCTAGTTCTCATGGGTGCACCTCCAGAGATCCTGGGCCCCCCTGTCCCCTGCCCGCCACGGCTTTTCAGTCTGAAAGCATTCCTAAACTCATGCCTGAGCCAGGTTCCAGAAACATCTCAGCCAGCGAGAGGCACATGTTGAGAGGCAAGCGGACAAGGGGTGCTGGGCAGGACTGCCATGGCACCCGCCCTGTGCTCCGTGCCTCCACCCCAAGTCAGAAGAAACATATTCCAGCAGCAGCACACATCCTAGGTCCTCCGAAGCCAGCAAACATTTCAAACATTCTCAAACGCTCCGCCACCCCGCACCCAGTCCCAGCAGTGCTGCCCCTCTGCCGGGCCACTCTTGGCCCCTCTGCTGTCCTCTCAAAGACATCAGCTCCAACTCACTCCCAGGACCAGCAGTCAGCCCAAAGGCAGAGTCTCCGGATGGCTCAGAAAACCAGGCTGTGTCCCTTTCCCTCCCTAACTGGCACCGGTCCGCAGCCCCAAAGCTTCCGCAGGCTCCTCCCCTAGCTTTTAAATGCAAAGGACTCCCTCCTCTCCCAAACCACCCTGGAAGCTGGGAAGGAGTCTGAAAGTCAAATCGCTGTGCTTTCAATAGCAGGCTGAGCCAGGCCCAGGGAGCTGCAGGTTTTTCGGAGGGTGTATAATTAGCTGATCAGTATTATGTTACCCTGTTCATAACTGAATAACCATTTTAATACAGATGGCACACTCTGGGATAATTTCTGGGGTCGCCTCGCAGTACGTTACAGCACGAGTGTGGCAGAGGGAATCTTCTTTAGCCAAGGTACATTCTACCAGCTAATTTTACCTGCTGTTTTCAGGATGATTTGGGATAATTCCATATCATTTGCAAAATATTTAAAAAAAAGAAAAAGCCCTTGACATGTAATGCCAGATTCAGAAAAAGGCACCATCTGAATTATTAGTTGTCCTGATAATGAGCCTAGGAAGAGTGCGAAGAATAACAAGGGCTTGAAACCCTTAGCCCTCTCCTCATTTGGGGGCGCCTCAAAACGGAGGGCTGTGGACCTGCTTCTCACTGGTGTGTGACTTGATGCAGGATTTCGGTGTACGACTGTGAGGTTATACAGTTCTGCAAGTGCAAAGCCAGCCCAGGTTCTTGGGCCCAACTGCCCCTTGTCTGTTTGGTAGCCCCAGACAGGCACACTGGCCAGAGTGCACCTGCGTGGAGTATGCACCTGTGTTCTCCCACAGTACACTAGGGTGTTTCGGGGATTAGGAGACCTAACTATCCTATATGTCAAACTGATTCCCTGTTGACCGCACCTGCCTGAACCTGTCCCAGGGCAAAGAAAGACTTGGGTTCACCCTCAAGGTCCTGGTTTCTCCTACCCTGCCTGGCATCCCAAGCTTTGTCCACCTCCTCTACCTGCTGCCAATCTCTACCTATTGGCTGGCATTTGCTCCACAGGCTTGGACACAAGTGCTTGTGGGCCGGAAATTTGTGCAGAGCTGGCTAACAAGGCAGGCTCCTGGGAGGCAACCTTTGTGAGAGCTGGCCGGGAGGGCAGGCGGGGGAGCCAGGACAGGAGGCTGTCCCTGGGGATAGGAGCATGCCTTCAGAAAGGGAAGTCTGTTCAGAGGCGATGAATAGACACTGGGCATTTTAAAGGCTTTGGCTGTAGGCTGTGATTGTCTCTAGATCCCGAGGCGGGTAATCTTGGAGTCTTAATTACCACAAACACTTGGATTCATTTCCAGGACACCGGCGGGAGAAGCCTGGCAGGGAACACCCAGCCCTGAACAGGAGATAGCCCTGTCTGTCTGTCCATCTCTCCCTCTCTTTTTCTGCCTTCCACGTTCCCTCTCTCTGCCGAAAGGACTTGGGGCTGGGAGCAAGGAGGAAGAGTGGAGCCCTGGAGCCAGGAGCTGGAGCCCCGCCCTGCAGGCCCCGGAGGTTTGCTCACCTGTTGATGGAAGAAACACTGGGCACGGTGTCGTTATCGCAGATGCCCTCGGCTAGCAGCCGGTCGCGGATCTCCCAGGCAAACATGGTGGGATTCTGCCGCTTGTACTCAGCGATCTTGTCCACCACTTTGGGTGTTGCCACTTTGGGCTTGGAACCGCCGATCACGCCCGGTTTGATGCTGCCAGTCTCGTAGTACCTGCCCCGGGAAGGTCGGTGGGATCAGCGGCGGGGAGGGGCGGGGGGCGGGGGCGGCTGCAGGCTCTGGAGCCGGGAACCACTGCTCCGAGAGAGGCAGCAGTGCCGAGGGAAAAGGCCCAGTGTGGCTGAGTCCACTTCCAAAGTGGGCTCTTGGCTAGGGCGAGGGACTCACAGAGAGGGACCCTGGGAGGATGCTCCCCACGGGAGAGAGGTACCCCAACTACCTAGGTGGTGAAAGTGCAGCCGTCTGTTTGGGGCAGGCAGAAGGGACAGCGCTGTGAGGCTTGGGGCAGACCAGGGCTGAGGCACCACTTCCAGCCCTTGGGTACTAAGCACAGAGGACCCTAGGAAACCACCACCTCCCTTCGCTTCTCCTCTTGGGGACCCGTTTCCGCTCTCCACCCCATTCCTCCAACCTTCCCCTCACCCCATGCATCTCTTCCTTGCTGAAGCTGGCACATGCCCTGGAGCAGGGCAGGCACAGGGTGACCCGGTTCCACTGCCGCTCCTGGGGCCTTGGCTACCCCTTGAGCACCCTCTCCAAAAGGAGCAGCCCTGCCGAACCCTCAGAGGTGGGGCTCTCCCTGTCTCGCTTAGCGGCCTCGACTGTTAGCCAAGTCCCCAGGCCAGAGACCCAGGGCTGGCAGGGACAGAGGCAGGGCGTCTCCCAGGACGGCTCCGAGGCCCTCACCTGCCCAGGATTTTGCTGACACAGCCGTGGCTGACCCGCAGCTGCCGAGAGATGTCACAGGGCCGCACACCCTGGTGGGCGAGCTCCACGATGCGCTGCCGCACCACGTCGGGTAGGGGCCGGCCGTTCACAAACACCCCCCCGAGCTGGTTCACACCCCCGTGCCCTGCTGGGGAGAGACAAGAAAAAAACACAACACCCCACACGCGGCAGGGACCGGCCATTAGTCAGGGCCCGGAGCCCGGGCCGGGCGAAGGGAGCGCGCAGGGCGTTCGGAACATGCTCCCGACCTCGCGGCGAAGGGCGGCGGGCGGACCACGACGCGGAGAACTGGGGCTCGGAACCCGCCGGGCGGTAAAGACACAGCAGCGCACACGCTGGGGAAGAACGCGACACTGAGACCAGTGCGACGCACGGGAGAAAGAGAGGGCATGGAGAAGGCAGGCGACAGCAAAGAGGGGCGAAGGGGAGAAAGATAGCGCGGCACAATCAATGCCAGCGGGGAAGGATTTGGGAACGCGGGATGAGGCAGCGCCGGCCGAGGACGGAACTGGCACTGGCAACTGGCGCAGAGCGGGATCCCGCCTGCGCCGCAGGCAAAGGGGCAGCTGGTGCCAGGGAGGGCTTGGAGGCTGATGATTTGGGGGCTGCTGCATGTGTCGGGCAGGAGCCCCGACAGGGGCTAAGTCTCTCTCTCTCTCTCTCTCTCTCTCACACACACACACACACACACACCTTTGCTTCCTACCTCTTTCATTGTATTTATTTGTGATCAAAATGTTCTACTTCGGTTCGCTTTGTTTTTCGATCACTGTTTTTCTTTCCTTTATGTCTATTCTGTTTATATACTTAGGGGCCCCATTTCCCCCACAACCCCCTACAATCTAAAGAGGAAAGGAAACAGGTGGAGGAGGGAAGGCGGAAGAGGCAGCGGCCTGGGGTCTGCTGCGCTCTGAGACAGGGAGGCGGTGGCCAGCGGTGCGGCTCCGGCAGCAGCCCGGGAACGCAGGCCGCCTGGGCTCGCCCGCCCAGCGCGTTGCGAGGGCCTGGGGGACCTCCCGTCTCGCATGGCACAGGCCGCCACGGAAGCCCGAGGTCTCCCGGGGCACTGTGTAGCGGGCCCGAGCCAGCAGCAAACGTCCCTGTAGCCGCCCAGGAACCTGAGCAGCAAGGGCGCTTGTCCTCTCAGCCGAGAGAAAAGGGCGCTGAGTTTCCAGCGAAGCTCGAGCTCGGGCTCCCGAGGCCGGAGCCAGGCCGGAGGGCGCGGCCGGGCGCCCCAATCTCCCGGCCTACGGCGGCCCGGAAATCCTGTACTCAGCGCAATCCCGCAACCGCAGCTACGAGCCAGCCAAGCGCCGAGATTGGCCGCACTGAGCCGGCCCCCAGCAGCCCCGGCCCTGCCAGCTACAAGCGGGTTTTGGAGAAAGCGGGGACATCTGCACTGCCCCCCACCCCGTTTCTCTCCCATCCTCTTCTAAGGGGACCTGGAACAAGCTTGGGCCAAACCCCTGGTCGGGCAGCCGGGGAAGGCCAGAACCGCTGCCTTCACCCCGACCCCTCTAGTCTCCACGTCTCTAGCCCCACTCCCCACCCTTCCCCTCCATCCAAACCCCAACCATCAATAATTTAGGCCCCGGGAGAACTCGCGTTACCGGTCTGAAAAGGCGGCAGCTGCGGGCAGATTAAAGATGAATAATTCAGCCTCCGCGGGCTCTGGGCCCGGCCCCTTGGCCCCAGTCTAAGGGGTGGGGATGGGAAAGGGGCACGGAAGGAGTCCGGGGCCGGGGGTCGGCCGGCAGCCGGCGCCCAGTCGGGTCCGGTTTGCGCCACTGCCGCCGGCGCCGACCTGGGCTGCAGCTACTCGCGGGCCGGCGCCGCGGCTCTTGGCCGGCCGTTCTCCGACCACCTTCGGCTGGCCTTGCTCCCCCTCAGCTTGCAAAGTGGTTCCCAGGGGGCGGCCGGGGCTCTGCGGACCCCGAGCAGAAGCGGTAACAGAGGAGATTCGTGGCAGCCAGCCGCGAGGCAGGCGGGCTGGGCAAGGCGGCGGTGGACCGGCTTCACTCCCTCGGAACAGGAGCGAGGCTGCCCGGTCCGGCTCGCAGAGACCCGCGGCGGCCTGAAGCCCCCCCGGCTCGGGTGCCCCGTACTTGGAAAGTATTTAAGAAAATGCATTTTATCCCAGGAGCATTTTTTTTTTTAATAAAAAGCTCTCCCTATAACGTTAAATGTATCTTGGGAGAAGGGGGAAAAAAAAAAAAAAAAGCCAGGTCGGCCTCCTGGCTCTCTGGGCATAATTTCAGATCCAAACAAGGTTTTAAAAGTTTCCTTGTGAGAAGTTACAAATTATCCTTAATTGTTATTCTACAGATGGGGAGGAGTTTTCTATTTAGAATCCTATTTATCTTTAAAGAGAGAGTCTGTTCCCCAAAAATCTCAGAACAGTTTTCTGAGCTAAAGACATGCCATGGATTGAATAAATTCAAATGTTATTACAATACTCTCTCATTCCCTATCTTTCTGTTTCCTTTCGCCCCTTCTCGTTTTTTTTCTGTAATCTCCTTTCAATTTTCGTTTATTTCCTTCCCCGTTTTGAATTCTCTTTCCTTTCTCCCCAGCTTCAGCATTTGCCTTCCTTTTGTTCTTGCCCTCTCGGTTTTTCGCTCTTTGCTGACCCCCGGCCAGGTGGCCGGCAGCGCGGCTCTCAGCAAGGAGTGGGAGGCAGGCGAGGAGCGTCCAGAGCTGAGCAGAACCTGCCCCGGACGCTGCGCTGCCCGCTCCCTCTCTGACTTCAATTTCTCCCTTCCGGAAACCCCTCTTTGTTTTTAGAGCATCTCCCAGGCAGATGCAAGGAGAAGCGATGACCACCACATCTTGCCAACCTCAGATTCCCAATTCAGACAGGGAAGGGGAAGGAGAGGAAAGAAAGAGGAAGGGAACATTCCAAACCAGTGTGCAAGACCCTCGCTAGGCTGTCGGGACCCTGAGAGGCTGGGAGCAGAGACTCAGGAGGGAGCACCCCACCCCCACACTCTTCCTAGTGCCCAACTGTCCTAAAACTAAGGCTCTCTGTGCTGGGAGTCTCCCCCTGGACACGCACAACTCTAAGTTCCAGGAGGGTAGAGATGTGGAGAGGAAGCGGGAGTATGCAAAAGAGGAGAGGAGACAGAAAATACAGCACCCTGAAAACTGCCTGCCAATTGGTCCCCCAGCTCAGTGCAAAAGGCTGCCTAGAGTGGGGTGGCTGGAACCAGAGCCCGGGGCTGTGGATCCCACGACCTAAGAGAGAGCAGGTGGAAGGAGTAAGGCCGATGCCGGACACCAGGGAAGGGAGGATGGCAGCAGAGGGACTAGGCATGGGTGACAGAAGGCAGCAGGGAGAGAAGCTGGAGGCGTTAGGAGTACCCGGAGAAGGAAAGAGGGAGGACGGAAGAACGAGAGAGGGACCGGGAGCAGCCAGAGTGGCCTCCAAGACTGGACCCGAGCGCAGAGAGCCGGCGCCGTGCTGGGACTGGACCGGGCTGGAACCGAGAGCCGCGAGCAGGGGCAGGAGCCGGGCGCGGGTACTCACGGTGCATCGCGGAGAAGGGGTCTGCTTTGCAGTGCATATCCATGGGGAGGCAGAGGAGCGGGAGCAGCGCGGCCGCCGCCGCCGTGTCGCCTCGCAAACTCAACTTCAGGACTTGAGGAGAAAAGGGAGGGACGGTGGGGGAGGGAGTGTGAGCGGGCGCCCGGCTGCTGCGGGGCGCGCGGGGGCGGATGGGGGGCGCTGCGCTGCGCTCCCCGCGGGACTCCTCCCGGGCCGCCGGGGCTTTGCAGCCGCAGCGGCCGCAACTTCTCACTGTCGGGGCGCCGGGGCTGGGCAGTCAGCAGAGCGGCCCCGGGGCGGCGGGCCGGGCCAGGGGGTACGGGGGGCGCATGGCTCGCGCGGCAGCTGCGGCCAGGACTGAGGCCGGGCGGGGCAGGCGGCTCGCTCAGTTCCCCTGGAACCCGGTCATCCAAGAGGCAGCGGTCGGAGAGGGCGCGGGGCGGGGGCGGCCCGAGGGCGCCAGGAGGGGAGCGGGGCCGCTCCGAGTAGGGCGAGTTGGCGAAGTTGGCAGAGAAGTAGCAATCCCCGGGATGTCCGAGCCGGCGCCCGCGGGAGGGGAGCGCGCGGGCCGGGCCCCCGCCCCCGGAAAAGGCAGACGCACGCCGCGGCGGCCGCAAAGGCCGGGAGGGAGGGAGGGCTAGAGGGAGGCGAGCGGCGCCGGCAGCGTCGGGCTGGCCCCAGGTGGGTTGCGGCTTCGAGGAGACTCGGCCGGAGACTGGAGCCTGGGCTCCCGGTGTGTGTCTCTCTAAAAGCTGCAAAGCCCCCTCCAGACCCCCTCCCCCTCCCGCGCCGGGAGATGGATGACTTGTCAGACAAAGGCAATAGATTCCACCACTCTGTGATTCGCCAGCGCCGGAGCCCCGAGCTTCGGCGAGGAGGGCCCCGCGCCTGTCACTCCGGTGCCGGCGCGGGGAGGGCAGGGGAGGGGGAGGCGGGAGGGAGGAAGCGAGCGGCGGGCGAAGGAAAAGGGAGGGAGGGGAGCGGGCCCAGCGGGAGGAGGAACGGGAGCTGGGATTAAAACTACACTGAGAAACGAAACTCGGCGATAAGATAAACGTTAGATAAGGATAAAGAGCGGCCAGTCTAATGAATATGCAGGCAACGACAGAGGGCCTCGGAGCGCGCAGCGCTCGGAAGCAGGGCTCTGGGTCCCAACTCCCCCAGCCCTGCTGTCCAGCGGCCAGTGCCCGCAGGCACTGCACGGCCCCGGACCCCGTCAGCACCCTGCTCCTAACCCCGTTACCCTGAGCTCTTGAGTTCCCTCCCGTTCCTTCCTCTCGCGAGCCCTTCCCTGTCGCCTTTCCCTGCCGAGGTGCCTACTCACCCACGCACACCCAATTCTCATTCCCGAGCAAAGTATCCAGCAGTTTGTCCGCCCCCGCCCAGCACGCTGCCGCCCGCCTGGAGCCTCTCCGGGCCCCCTTGCCCTCTCGGGTCCGTCCAAAACGCTTTGGTTTGGCATCGAGCTGGAGACCTCCGGCGAGGACCCACCTGCTTTGGTGGGACCCAACGGCCGGCGGGAACGCCCAGGGCACTTGGCTCCAGGACCCTCGGGTGGCCGGGGCGGGGGGGGGGAGGGGAGAGGGAACAGAGCGGAGCCGCAGGTCGCTGGCAGAAAAGGATGCGGGAGACCCAGGCTCGGTCTCCCCGGCTGGGGAGAAGAGGAGGCTGCGGACGCGGCTGAGCGCCGCCCGCGGCTAGCTCGGCGGATCCGGAGCGAGCGCAGGAGGCGCAGCTCGCCGGCCTGGCCCCACTTCTGCCGGAGCCGCTAGCCCAGCCTCCGCAGCCCTCGCCGCTAGCCCAGCCTCCGCAGCCCTCGCCAGCACTCGCTCCCTTGCTCGCTGGGTCCGCTTGCACGCACCAGGCAGGAGAAGCCCTTTGTCTCCTAACCGGTTAAGTACAGAATATCCGGGAGATCTTTATGAAATATTTTCCCTCGTCTCATAAATCATCTTGGCACTTCAGCTGATGTTTTAACTCTCTCCCTCCTTCGCTCCCTCCCCCCTCTTCCCTGGGTCCGCTCCAGGGCGGCTGGGCGAAGCCCGCGCTGCGCTCTTGCTGCCCGGCCCTGAGGTTCCTGCAGTCCGTCTGCAGCCCCGGGGCAGCACGGCGGACTCCTGTGCCTGTCCGCCGGCAGGAGCCTGGGCAGCAGATGGGATCTGGGACTGCATCGGTCAGACTCAGCCCGACTCAGCGTGACTCTACGCGTCTTGTACCTGGGTCTCCAGGGTACCCCTACTCCTCGTTTGGGGCTCTGACCTCAGCCGGCCCAGCATGGTCTGGGGCTCCCACTCCTCAGGGGGCTGAGGGCTGGAATCCTGGCATTTGTCCTCCCTTCGCAGTCTTCCTAAGCCTGATCTGCTTAATCCACCTGCGAGGGTAACTTATGAGAGAGGAAAAACCCTCCTCCTTAGCCCCCTTCTCAGCCCCCACCCCCACTTCCCATGGCAGCCCAGCGTGCTCCCTTGGGCCCGGGGCTGAAAGCGCCGGGTTCAGCTCCGAAGGTTGGTCTCTTCCCCTCAAGGCCTGCAGATGGCGCTCCCGGGTTTCCTTTGGCCTCACAACCCCACGAACACGCACTAACTTTGTGTGGGGAGCCGAGGGGAAAAAAAGCAGAGTTCCCGCAGCCTAAAGGGACCAGCTTCCAGGCCTGGGAACCAGGTGCACTGTAGCGGGTCCAGAGTTGGGCTTTCTTCGGGGAGGTAGGTACCCAGGAATGGGAGGGGGCCATTGAAGAGAGGGCCCCCTGGTTGGGAGCCCTAGCCCTGGGTCTCCTCCTAGGTTGGTCCTGCTGGAAGTTATGTCTGAACTATTGCAGGAACCACGCGGACCCCCACATCCACCCACGCCCAGATATCTCTGGAACCAGCTGGACCTCTCCCTGTGTTGCACATACTACCAAGTAAGAATGGGCACAGCAGGCATTGTCACACACTGGGCAGAGTATGCTGCAAGTTGTCTGCCTTCACGAGCACCCGCAGTCTTAATTCCAAGACAGCCCAAGCCTGCGCCCTGCTCCCAGGTCGCCCTCCTGGAGACAGCCCTAGCAGGAGGCGCCCCCTCCTCGGCTCCAGCCCTGCTGCAGGCCTAGAAAACTCCCTAAGGGGGAGCACCCAGGTCGCACACAGGCCTGGCCTCTCCCTCTGATGCTCCCTGCCCCACTTTTTTCTTCTATAGAGTCCAGTAAAGGGGGGGGGCAAAAAAGGGAAAAAAGGGACGAAGAAAGAAGAGGAAGGGGAAAAGAGAGGAAGAAAGAAAACAACCCAGCCCCAAACACAACCCAGGCTCCGACCTGTCAGGCTTGGTTGCTTTCCCCCGTCTGCCTCTAAATGAACCTTTTCTCTCTAGTGTTTTCAAAGCGGCCTTTCCACCCCCCAACCTAGGGGCATTTACACTTCAAACAAGGCGCCCGCCTCCCTGCGGAAATTTAAAGGCAAATAAACTTTTGGGGAGTTGCTCCGATACCCATCTCGGGATTTGCTTCATTAGCCGCCTCTGTGCATCTGATCTACCCAATAAATCTTCCTTGTGGATCACGGCTCCTTCTCCTTCTCGGCTCCCTTCCCTGCCAGGCTGGCCTGGCTCCTGGCAGCTCCCACCCTCGCCTCTCGCGGCCAGGCCCGGCATGCCTGCTCTGCCCGGGCCGCGGTGTCGCAGAGGCGGTGGTCCGCGACAAGCAGCCCCCAAGCGTCCCCGCGCCCAGGCGCCCCAAGCCAAGAGTAACTCGCACCTCGGAGTCCCCAGATGCGCTTCTGGGCAGACTGCGTTAGAAGGGCCGTGGGGCGTGCACTCCGTCCGCTGCCCCCTCTTCACGACCCTCCGACCCTCCGCTGCTCCCAGGTTCCCAGTTCCCGGCCCCGGCGAGAAAAGGCAGAGGTGTGGCTACCTCCCCGCTGCCCGCAGTGCCCCGACTGGGGCCTCGAGCGGCTCCAGCAGGCAGCAGGGCAAGCCTTCCTCCCTCCTCCCTGGGAGCCCCGAGGAGAGCTAAGGCCTGGTCTCTGAGGGAGGGGATTAGAAATTCCGAAATTAAATGTATCTCCCCAGGAAATGCTCCCCACCGCGCGGACCAAATTAAACGCATTAAAGTTCGGGTGGGGGGGGCTGTTTAGAGTGTGTGTGGGGGTGGTCCGAAGGGAAGAGGAGCGGAGGCAGAGAGGGGGAGAGCGGCGGGCGGCGCTGGGCGGCGGCTCCGTGGTCCAGCTCCGTGGTCCTTTGGGTGAGTCCCACCTGCGGAAATCCCCACCACCCGAAAGCGAGCAAGAAAAGTTTAGACAGTGAAACTCCGGGAAGGACGCCCGCGGCCCGGCACACGCGGGAGCACGCCCTTGGCACTCAGGTCCCAGGCCTTGGGCGCAGCACCCCGGCCCCCTCGCCAGCTCGCCCCTCCCCCTCCCTGTCCTCTCCCCGCCCCTCCCCCTGCCTAGCCCTCTGGTCACGTTGGAGGATGGTTTTTTTTTTTTTTTTTGGAAGAGCTTCTGGTACAATATGGAGCACCATGGGCTGCAATTTCACACTCCACAGCACATTCCCCCTAAAGCTACTTTCTTTTTTTTTTATCTGAGACCCCCTAATTTCTGCTTCCTCGCTCCCTCCCTTGCTCCCTCCCCCCCTCCTGCTCTCACTCTTCTTTCCCCGCTTTTGTTCCCAATATTTGGGCTCCCTGCGAGAAGGGGGGGGGGGCGGGGGGCTGACTCGGGGCGGCCCCGCCCGCGCGGTCTGTTGGTCCTGCGGAGGCGCAGCGCACGTGCTGCGCCTTTATCCTGCTCGACCCTCCCCCTCTAACCCCGCTGCCCCTCACAAGAGGTCCCTGCCACCCGCCTGGCGCTTCGCAGCCCCTTTGAGGGGAACGACAATACAAGCCACTTGGCCACCAAAGCGGCCTCTTCGCAGCACGGGCCAGCCAGGTGGCTGCTGCCTGTGGGCTTCCCAACCCAGGGAGGCTGGGAGCTGGGGAAACAGACAAGCCGGGAGAAACGGGGAAACACAGCCTGCAGGCCGATAGGGCGCTAGAAGGGGAGTGGCAGAGGTCCAGGGAGGCCCTGCTACTCCTGGCTCAGACTGGGACCCAGTGGGTCCCCCTTCCCCAGACTCTC